TGGGATAGTCTGCTTTCTTCGTGTATATATTATCCTCTCGGTGTGGGAGGTGTTGATGTCTTGGGATATGAACTCTTCCTTGATCTCTGCCGGCTCAATGTCCATTTGCTCGTTCTTGATGACGTACAGCTTCGTCGGTAGAGACTCGTCAGCAGCGTGGGTGGAAATCTAGGCTCCTGGAATGCTGTGTCTGGCTAGGTCTTTAGGATGGTCGTATAGCCTCGGGAATCTTTACACTTAATACATACACCACCTCTTGGTAGGGGGCGTATGTTCGAAAACTGGATTGCTGGAAATAAACAATTAATTTCCCTGGTGATACCTGGTTGGTGAAAGCTGATAGGGATTCCTTTATCTATGACTGCTAGTGATGGTTTAGTTACACAGGCTTGGCTGATTGTACTGGCTTTGCTGGAGGTGCCAACTTGGTCCAGTGCAGCGGGTTGTTTGTCGTGTGGTGGCGAATTCCTGATCTTTGTTGGTGTTGGGATATTAGGCTTGACTGGAGAACTCGGGCGCGACGTGGAGTCGCCACCAGAACTCGAGAGTGACGTGGCGATGGTGAGGCCCTGGTCGCTTTCCAAAGTGCAGAGCTCTTCGCATTCCAACAGCATGGTGTAACTGGTCAGAAGTTCACCCTGAGACCGAGTGACGATAGTCCTGTGGGTACCAGGCATCTTGGGTCAGGTAGTTGCATTTTGCAAAAATAAAAACAAAAAGATTAGACGTGTTAGCCCTCAAAAGGGCTGTTTGTGTGAATCGTACTATGATCCAAGAGCGAAAGTAATAAACTAATCCGCAGGTAGATAAGATATTTAACAGGTAAGAGTAAAGCAATGTTCCTGTTACTTTCATTAATACTAGTCAGAAAGTATTTCAACTTTACCATTGAAATGTTCAGTAGGTGGTCAATTTTTCCTGGAAGAGATCAGAGTAATAAAAAGCTATAGCTCACACTATAGCCAAAGATATAAAACATAGTTTTACTTGATGTTTCTCATAAGCATAGTGCGGAAAGTATTTCACTTTGATCAGGTTGAAATATTAATGAGTAAGTGAAATCATCATTAGCACATGAAATTCACATATAACAGCTTAGACATCATAACAAGTATATACACATGGTTTGCAGTGTTTTATTTGGTTATAATAATAATATTTTCCTACAGATTGAAATATTTTAATAATTAAAATGTTTTACTGATTGTAATTAGCATTGTTTCATTACAAAATACAATTTCGAAGCATGAAAATGCATACTGTGAATGTAATAGAAGGAGGATGTTGGAGGCACCACACACTTGATGAAACCTTGTAACATGCACCATAATAGTTACACAATTTGTAAATGGAAGGAAGTCCCTAAGGAAAGACTATGAAAGTTTTGGAAAAGGCTAGCACTGGTTAACACGTGAATGTGTTTAACTGTCTAGGAATCTATTGCAGCCTTCACCCCCATTCTTTCCTACTCGAACCGAGTGCTGCACATGACAAACAGACAGTAGGCTAGGGATGAAAGCAACTGAATAATTTGGAGTGTATTTTCTCTTATTTGGCAGGGTTGATAGAATGCATCATAACCACAAGGTAGCTTTCCATGTGTAAACCCAATGAAGTAATCATTAATATTGTGGATCTGTCACTTGACCAATAACTGATCGGGTTTGTAGCCGCACATTACGACCCCCTTTTACCTATGCACTCAGCTAAACGTCTGAACGATTATAATTCAATCAATCTTACACTTAAATCTGGACTTTCAGTATTTAAGTTCAAGTTCCAGCCATGGTCAGTCTCTTGCCTTGAACTTTGACTTGACCTGGTATGGATTCTAGATCAACCTCCAAGACCTCCAAATGCTGCAAGATTCCCAAGGCATCCTCTACAGCAAGAGATCCAAAGTCATCATGGAGACAAAGAGTGTTGGACTAAAATTTACCATTAGCCAGGCTATGGATAAAGATGCATTGCTTACCAATTCATCCATCTTGGAAAATCTTGCCAAATTGGCGAACAGATTGGTTCTAATTTCTCCAAGGGCTGAGCTGCTTCTAACAACTTATGAAGACACTGGTGTTGCTGGGAAGTCCTGGGAGGTTCCTGGCATCATGTTGTCAGACTCGGCATTATTGCAACTGGAGGAGCTAAGCCTACAGAAGACTCAGCAGCTAGAGTCTGTGCTTCTGTTGACGCTGCCCAAGCAAGTCAATACAAAGAAGTGATGCGGCCCAGTAACATGTTTGTTTATAGGATGCAGCACCATCGTGAGGAGGAGGAGATGACAAATATGTTTGAATCTTTGATGGGGCCATTAAATTCCAAAGTCTGATAATAGCTTTCAACACTAGGGTCGGTATAAGAAGTGTCCTAGTCTCAGGAAGATGGGAGCAGGATGAGCTCCACAATGATAGCAGTGTCAAGAACTAGAGTGATGGCAGTGCAGACGACTCAGATGGCTCAACCAATGGTTATTGCTATCACTGAGGGAGTTTCAAATCAATGTCCAATGTGAAACTCTCTGCAAGACCACCTAAGGTGATCATGAACTAGCCCATGTTAGAACAAATTCCAGCACTCAGTCACCATTGTCAGAAGATGGCAGCCAAGTGGACAGAGGCCTGGGCTTCTTACAGCTGGAAGGAAGATCAACTGGGGCAAAGGGCCACTCCTACTTGTGTACAAGGCTATCTGAAGCTGAGCTGAATCTAAAAAGAGCTCAAGGGTCAATTTCTGACTGAGGTGATCAGAATGAAACTTTGACCACTCTCTGAGGTTAGTGTATATTTTGTATATAATTAATTTATTTTTGGTGTATGTGTACATATATATATAGGTGTTTTTGTTTTTTTAATTTAATTTAGAATGTCTTTTGTCTTCTTCACTCACGAGTGTTCTGGAGAACATAAACCTAGCACTTTTTAATGTATTTGTATGTATAGTTTTTTCTTTTTATATTGTGATGGTACCCTCGCTCTTTCGTGACTGGGAGCATGTGTGGAAGACCAATGAGATTAGAAGTTTGTATGTTGATGCACTTTCTAAATGTGTTGAACTTTTTTATGTTATAAGTTTAATACTCCAACACTAATGTGAGCCAGAGAGAAGCAGACAGTTATATAATTGTTATTTTGATATTTTTCATCTCATTATGTTGAAGGTATTCCTTGTTGAGTGTTTCGATTTTAATCTGTTATTATGATATATGATGATTTTAAATTACTATTCAGTATTTCTTGACTGATTTCTATATATATTTTTCCTGAATATCTTGTTAGACTGCCCTTTCTTGTGAGGGGGCATATTAAAGCCCCCAGTGACGCAGCAGTATGTCTGTAGACTTACAACCCTAGAAACCGGGTTTTGATACCCGTGATGGGCAGTGCACAGATAGCCCCTTGTGTAGCTTTGTGTTTAACTTCAAACAAACAAGCAGATTACAATGATTACTGAGGTTGAAATTAATATGTATTCATAGTTAAAAAGGTTTATACTTTTATCTCGTTTTTATTTTCAGTTTTATGATTAATTTTTAGACTGTCCATTCTTAAAGAGAGCAGGATGTCTCTACATTTTGGTTATTTCCCCTCCCCCTTTATTAGTTTCATATTTAGTTAGCTTTACTTTTTGTTTTTTGTGAGTATGTACTTGTGCTTTGCATTTGTTTTTTAAAGGGTATTGTTTGACACAATGTTAAAGGATTATAATATGTTCTATGTTAAAGAGTTTTCTTTTTGTGTTGTGTCGTATAATAATGGATTATAGTTAAAAGTGATTTTTGTATTATTATAAATAGTAAATTTAAATTTCAGTTATAAGGTATTTAATTCGTGGATTATTTTATTCTTGCAATTAAAAAGTTGCTTATTTTACTATTGTGATGTATTATTTTAGTCTAAATCGTTGGTAAAGGTTTATCTTGCAACAAGTGTAGTTTCTTGTTGAACGGTTTTGTCATTCATGTGGCATGTAAGTTCTCTTACTCTTTAGGAAGAAAGAAAAGTTAATGTGCTCCTTGGCCATGATGCAACTTTAAAGATTATTTATAGTTGTTATAAGACATTTTGTTAGGCCTATTATATTTTTAACACCACATTCGTAATCTAGTCCCTTAGGGATTTTCGAGAATTCAAAGAGTGTATAATAATAGTATTTCAACCACACTGTATTTGTCATATCCATTGCCGATTATTGTATTTTCTTGTGATTGTTTGTTTGTTATGAATTTTGGGCAAACTACACGAGGGCTATCTGCGCTAGCCGTCCTTAATTTAGCAGTGAAAAATTAGAGGGAAGGCAGCGAGTCATCACCACCCACTGTCAACTCTTGGGCTACTTTTTTTACCAACGAATAGTGGGATTGACTATCGCATTATAACGCCTCCACGGTTGAAAGGGCGAGCCTGTTTGGTGGGACGAGGATTCAAACCCGCGACATCTCAGATTGCGAGTCAAGCGCCCTAACCACCTGGCCATGCCAGACCCCTGAACAAGGGAAAGTACTTACAGTAAATGCTGATATTGAAATAAACTGTTTCGTTATTGTTACGTGGATTGGGTCACATTACTTAAACCAAGTAATATAAAACAAACCATTTCAACCACACAACACATTACAACAATAACACGCATTCATGTATCTTATTTGTCCGATTTTTTGTATTTTTGAACTGTTGTGTTTAATGCTTTCGAAAACTGAGAATACTTATTTTGTTTTTAGAAAATAAAAATATTCTGAATAATTTATATGTAAGTAAGAATAAAGTAGTTGTACTATAAAATTGTGGGAAAAGGTAATTATACGAATATTACTATTAGATTCTTTTATAGATTTGTACTGTTGATGGTACTGTTAGTGTTCAATGATTAAACTTATATATTAACATTTATCCAATTGGATACACATTTATCATTTGACTTCAGCTTAAGGATTTACATTAAGTCACTAGGTGGATGTAATAGAAGATTCCAGGAGTTCTTACACAGGCGGGAATCTTATCGTAGGCTTAAGTTTAGCGAGATTTTTAAACTTATTTTAAGTATCTTGTAGTCATCACTTTTAGCACTTGAGATACGAATGTGTTTTAAATAGTGTATATAAATATTTTTTTATTTCTTGCGGTTTATAATTTTTTGACGCAAAAAGGGAGTAATATTGTGTATTTTCACATCACTTGCATTGTTGCAGTTACACGCTCTTGGGTAACAACAGTGTACTGCAACATAACCGTAACTGTGAAAAAGGTAACTAGTTTTTTTGCGGAATGGTGTACAAACAGTTAAGTTACCTAGCCAACAAAGTCTACTGCGCCGTCTCATTCTGACGTGCTATTGCTATATCAGGCGACTCTGTTTTTAACAGTCCAAAGAATTACAGAGTAAGTAAAGTAGAAGTTTACTTAATGTTTTTTATATTTTTATTGAATTAGTGCTTTCGTATTGTAACACTATTATTTAATCCTTCATGTAAGCCTAACGTTAGGCCTAATATTTACTGTGATCAAGCAGAAGAGTAACGCTGACAGAATGAACATGAGACCGCCATTGTGGTACATATTCTTTGACTTTAGTAGGTAGCGCACGGTGAACTGCTCAGTCTGGAATAGTCAGCATAATGTTAAGGGCGCCATATTGATATAAGATGAACAATGAAAGTATTAATCCTGTCGAAACATATTTTTAATATTGTCTGTGATGCCAGAGTTTTGATTTTTTGTACTGTGAAGTTAACGATTACGAAAGGTACTGTCGTCTGCTAAAGCTTAGGCCTAAAATTAGCCCTAATTCTCGTAGATCATTGTTCATATAGATTTCAGTTTTAAACAAAATGGCTGACAACTTTTATCCCTAAATGTAGGCTTAACTAAGACTTCTGTAACTCGGCGTCTGCCATGTGTTAGTAATAGTACGTTTCATTATAGTATAAACATAATGTTTCTTACTTAGTTATAAATATTTCCTTTTTAAAGTGAAATTTTTTAATTTTTGCTTAAAAACAAACCTGTTTTAAATTTGATTTTAACTAGATTTATTAGTAAAAACAGCATAATCTTTCAATTACAATTTACAGTTAGAAATTGTATTGAGACCAACTTTTTTATGTTAAGTTACAAAGCTTTGAGTTGATGATATTAATGTAGAAATGTATGTTTTTGTATTTTTAGGATTTGTAATATTGTATTATAGAATTATTAAGTTTTTGTAATTAGAATATTAATACCAGTTTATTATTAAATATATTAAAATAGTTAATGTTACATTGTTGAAATTGTATGATTTTTATTAGTTTATGAATAATTAAATCCAACTATGTTCATGTAATTGCTGCACTTGTTTGAACTCCATTTTTTCTCAGTATTAAACTCTATCTTGTGAAAGTAGTAGATTGAATGTTTTGAACTTTTCTCCCAACACTTGAAATTGTATGGAATATCAGGTTTATGCCTCATGTTGCTTAAGTGTATTATTGCAAAGTAAAAGAAGTGCCTTAAAATGTTTTACAATAATTTTTTAAAAGCATACTTCCAGTTAATTCTTATTATTGGATAACTTAAATTAAATGTATCTTGAATACAATTATTTCTCTGAAATACTGCGGGCAATATGAAACTATTTATCCTTGATTTATAACTCATCTATTGAAGCTCTCATTATGATACACATGTATTTTGGTTTTATATCACTCTTCCATGTCATGTGCTAAAGATATATGTTCAAATTATGATCAGTGGTAGACAATAAGAGACTTAAATTTTTATCCGTCACAATAGTTGTTACCTGAAGCAAAATAATCATGTGATTTTTGTTAGAAATTACTGGCGAGTTGAAATGGGAATAGTAAGATTGTTTGACAATAGTGGTAGTGGTCAAATCTGACAAAGTTAGAATAAAAGCAAATTAATAATGTTGTTTCTGTAAAACAGTCTTATCAGAACAGAAGCCATTCCCAAGAGGTATAAATATGTATAGGTGCTTATTGTAAGCTGTGCACAATGTTTTTCAAAAATATATATTGTTCGAAGACAGTTGAGAGGGATTGAAAATAAATATAAAATATGAGGCTATCTCTGCACATCCAACTTTGAGAATAAAAATACTTTTTAAACTCACTTTATTTTTAAAGTACTACTATTGGTGACCACTCATTTCACAAGCTAATCATCTATTTAGAAAAATGAACTCTTAACTGGAGCCTTGCCTTTTCTTAAATCTTTAATTAAATTAATGTATATAATTACACCCTAAAGTTTTGTTAGTTTTGCTGCTATGCCAAGATCCTTTTCTCATGCTATTGAGAGGGGAATCCCATCAATATGAAACATGACCCAAATTACGATAACCTAAATGCATTAACTTGCACTTGTAAGTCTTTTAATTACCAAATATTTGTCCAACAAGCTCACAGTAATTCTATAGTGCCCCAAAGTTCTCAATAAAGCTAAAAATACTATTTTAATGTTGAATGGACTTATTAACAACCTTTTTTTTTTTCCTTCATCCAACCACCTTACAATCCAATTAAGTAGTCTTTTTCTCATCCTCTACTGATGTAATTTTCTTAGCTAATCTTCTGTGTGGCCCTTATCAAAATCTTCTTGAAAGTAAATATGGACTTCTATAAACACTAGCAAGTGGTTGCTAGTTAGCTTTTGCCATGAGCAAATTTGTGATTGCTACTATAAATAACATTCTTTTTATCTAAACTTCACTGTAACTGTGTCATAATTTACTTAATTTTATCTACTAAATGTTAATACATATTCTATTTATATATGTATAAATCTGCTGTGTCATGTTTTCATATATTTTAAAGAGTAAATGTTTTTATTTTAAACATTTCACAAGAGTTAAAAGGTGTTTAATTTGCTTTGAAACTGGTGTATCCAGGAAACAAGAGCTTGGATTGACAAAATCTATGGTACACTTCCATATTTTATTTAACTGATTTCATTATTAAAAGTTACAGTTTAAAGCTAGCAAAGCATTAGAAACCAATAAGCCTAAAATAAACAACTTAAAAATAATTTTTAACAAAAACATAAAAATTTGTAATTTCTAGTATATTATTGTCTCAAGTAAATAGTAAATTGGTCACAGTACTTCTAACCCTGCTGCTGGCAAAACTAAGCTGTAGAGGCCAGATGGTACAAGTTTAGCTAGGTAGCCCATGTGCTAATTACTGTGGCATTCAAAGAAACAAGTTGAAACTGTATCACAATTTTCTGATATTTGGCCTTCGTATGCCATGCAACCCAAGTGAGGATCATAAAACCTGCATGGCACCATACAAGTTAATATGGTTAGTCATAATTGTTAATTCAGCACTGAGAATCTTGTATATGTTGACACTGACTGTAAGATTGGTAGAAATAATGAAATAAAATTACTTTCACTTAAGTGAATGCTATCATTAAGATTACATTCCCTCATATAAAGTTGTATTTCCTGATGAATTGTTTTTTACTTAATCTATGCAATATGTTCATTTTCATTTGTAATAACTAAACAAATGCAGATAGACAATGTGTTCCTGATTGGAACAGATGAAATTCCTCAGGAATGTAATATTTTGATCCATGTAAGAATGTACAAATTGAAACTTGAATTATTTTGAAATTTCAGGTTATAAGTTATTTAATAGTGATAAATTTGAGGAATCAAAATTCCTTATTTGCTTAGCAGCAAAACATCAAATTTATTTGAAAAGTGAGAACTTACACCCAGAATAACTAAATAAATGTATTTTTTCTGCCTCTTTAATTTTGTAGGTTGAACTATATCAGTACGATGTGCTCGTTTATTGTATCCAGTATCCAGAAAACAGAACACCCACCAAGGTTTTGAGATTCCTGTTTTTTGGACAGTATGGATCACCACGGTGTTGAAACTATAGTAGAGGAAGTGCATGGTTTTGAGTCTGTGAGAACAGTTCCACACTCTATGGTGACGTCTGTGGACATCGATAGCATGAATACTGTAGTCTACTCACAATGTCCCGATGGGATTATCATGGAAGGAGATGAACTTGTAGAACCAGATATATCTGGAGCAGTTTGTACTGATGATAGCCAAGAATTGGTTGATAAGGTCTCACCTCACCAGGTGATGCACATGGACTTAGGAGATGGGGATGTTACCTTTTGCCACCAGGTAATAAAATTGTCATGATAATTGTAATTTAGTAACAATTTTAGATTAATATTTGTGTTTTATGATTATACAAAAAAATAATTTAAAAATGCAAAGTCACAGAAGTATTGTACAATAGTTTGGGGCAATAGAGTAGAACGACTCGAAAATAAACAACCATTGAGTTGAAACTAGCTTGGCAGGGCTAGAAAAGTTGTATCAAGTAATAGTATTTTCTCAACCTTTACTTGAACAAGTTTGTTTTTTGAAACAGCTGTAATGAGTGAAATGTTCTTAATGTGGTGGCAGCAAAGTTTATTTTTTTAATCTTAGTTTTATATATTTTCATCCAATAGAATTCTCAGCCACTAATATAAAATACAAAAGAAAAGAGAAAGCTTTGGAAGTTTGTAGTAAAGTCCTCCTCATTACCTGAAAATTGGTAGTATATTTCATGAAAACTTGTTACTATACTAAAATAAGTAACAGTGAATCTGATCAACAAATTAGGATACAGGATCACATACAAAAGGTACAATTAATTACAAAAAAAAAAAAAAGACCAAAAACTCAGGCACTTTCAAATAGTTGACTATTCTTCTCTAGGAGACATTTTTGTTAAACTCTGCGATAGCACGAGAGAGATGATCTTGCAAAAAATATTTCTATAACAAATTATTTTTATATTTGTGTGAAGTTCCAACTAACTCGAATCAACTGAAAAATACTATGTTTAATGATTTGTAACATCAATTTCCATTAGTTTGTCCCAAGTATCACTCGCACAATACCATATTGTCAGTAACTATTTAAGTTAACATTTTTGTAAACCTAAGCCTACAGATATTCATGTTTATTACATGAAGTTTAATTTATACTATTAGAACATTTAATTTTATGGAATACTTAAATTGTCAGTGATACCATTAAAAATGTTCTGTCTTTTTTCACAGGCAAATATACTGATAAACTGAAACATTTAATTCTATCAACATTTTTCATACTTTACATACAATATATAATTAATCTGACTTAGCAATTTTACAGATACTCTAACATTTTGACAGTGTTTACTTGCTGGCTGTGATTGCAAAGACAGTAAGCATTACCGGTGAACATACAATTAGTGATTACACGTACACAACATTTTTGTCATCAAAGGGTTACTTTGAGCACAGTATTGAAAAAGTCAAGGTGTGTATTATTTATGGTGATAAAGCAAATCAGACTCTTAGTTTGTAAAGATTAGAGTATTATATTTGAGAGCATATTATATTCAGAAAATTACAGTAATGAGCTTCGATGCTCTGTTTCACTAATTGTGTGTTCACTGGTAATGCTTACTGTCTTTGCAATCACAGCCAGCAAGTAAACACTGTCAAAATGTTAGAGTATCTGTAAAATCGCTAAAAGTGACTTTGCCTTAGGGATCGCTATATAAAGAACTTGTGCCGACTATTCAAGGACAGTGATTCGAACTCAAAATTTGAAAGTTTCAATGAAAATGATTTTTAACAATAACTAGTTTTGTATTTTCAAACATTTCTGTGTGTATGTAAATAAATTTTAGAAATCACAAGACTTAGCTTTTTTCATCATTTTATTTCAAAATCATGTTTAAAGATACTGAAAACAGGATACAATTCTCATTTATGCCTCAGAAATAGAGAATTAATAAGACATACCATACGTTTCTAGTAAGTATGCATTACCGTTCACAACGTGTGTAAGAAAAGATGGTCGGGACTGGCTGTAAAATAAGAAAATTTAGATTTGTTATCATATATTATACGCACCTTAACTTCTATATAAATTTTTAGTGAAAAAAATGCATATTATATTTGGAAAATTGGTATATAAAGTACATGCTATTAGTGTATACAATACATTGTCAGATTTGTTGTAACCGTTACTGGAACAGTTTTTATTGCTTCTCTTAAGAAGAGTAAATGTTAGCTACCTTCCAATCATCTGGTACTTGCTCACTGTTAAAGAAAATAATAATGGTGTCAGGTCAAACTATCTAACAATATTAATTATAGTATTTTGGCACTTGTGTATAAGTTTACAATCATAAATAATATTCAACGTTAAACCGGTACACAGTTAAAAACATTTTATTTAGGTTATCTATGGCCTTCAAAAAGTTGACGACTCTACATGTTTCAACGTTACATCCTGAGGATGACGTTGTACCAGTTTA